AGTCCCGGGATCGAGTCCCGCATCGGGCTACCTGCTCGGCAGGGAGTCTGCTTCTCCCTCTCCTGCTCCCCCCTCTTGTGCTCTCTCTCTCTCTCTCAAATAAATAAAATCTTTAAAAAAAAAAATAGTAAAGCTCGTCAAAATACACAAGATACCCACCCTTTTCTGCCGTTTTTAATCACCATGCCTTGCAGATTTTTTAATTAGTCACAGACCTTCAGGCACATCTGGATCTAGTGAAAAAGGCATCAACCTCCCCACCAAGAGGGAAGGGTTACCACACATGCCTTCCCTCCTCCCCTTTAGGATTCAAAGTGCAGGTGGTGCCCCCTCTCCAGCTTAACCAGCACCCCCTGTGATCAGCTTTAGGCTAGTTCAGCCAAGGATACTCAGTGAAATTTTATTTTGTGAATGAATTAATGCCAAGCTCTCCTACATTGCCCCAGGGGCCCAAATACTCTAGAGAAACATTGTCTGATAGAAATATAAATGCGAGCCACATACATAATTTTACATTTTTTAGTAGTCACAGTTTAGAAAGTGAAAAACTGGTGAAACTGATTTAACACAATATATCTTGAACAGTATGATTTCAAATGTAATGAACATAAAGAGATTAAGATACTTTATATTCTTTTCATCCTACAGAGTCTTCAAGACCTAGCGTGCATTGCACACTCACAGTACATCTTAATTCAGACTTAGTCACTTTTCAAGCGCCAATAGCCCTAAGAGCTAGCGGTTTCCCTATTGGACAGCATAGGGCTAGAAGCAGACACACCTGGGTACTACTTCTGGCCCCACCCATGAACTGTGGCCTGGGCCTCGGTTTCCTGGATGCAGGAATCTGGATCTCAGCGACCTGCCCCATCCCTCCTACAAATGGTCTGGGCTATTCTCTCTTGATATTAATTTTTGATGCGATGCCTATCCCCCTTACTTCATCACTGAAAATGTTTTTTTCCTTTTGTTTTTAATTGACATACAATTCACTTAGCATAAAATTTACCCTTTAAAATATATAATTACCCCTAGCTTTAGGCAATGGCTAATCTATATTCTGTCTACGAATTGACCTATTCTGGACATTTCATATAAATGGAATTATACAATATGTGACCTTTTGTGCCTAGCTTCTTAGCATGTTTACAAGGTTCATCTGTGTTATAATACATATCAGTACTTTGTCCATTTTTTTATGGCTGAATAATATTCCATTGTATGGATAGACTACATTTTGTTTATCCACCTACCCGTTGAGGGACATCTGGGTTATTTCCACTTTTTGGCTATTGTGAATAGTACTGCTATGAACATGGGTGTGCAAGTTTTTGTGTGAACATGTTTTCAACCCTTTGGGATCTATACCCAGGAATGGAATTGCTAGGCCATAGGGGCGCCTGGGTGGCTCAGTCGTTGGGCGTCTGCCTACAGCTCTGGTCGTGGTCCAGGGGTCCTGGGATTGAGCCCCATGTCAGGCTCTCTGCTCGGCGGGAAGCCAGCTTCTCCCTCTCCCACTCCCCCTGCTTGTGTGTCCCTCTCTTGCTGTATCTCTCTGTGTCAAATAAATAAATAAAATCTTTAAAAAAAAAAAGATTTTCTTTTTAAGTCACCTCCACACCTGACGTGGGGCTCGAACTTATAAGCCCCAGATCGAGAGTTGAACCTCTAGTGACTGAGCCAGCCAGGCGCCCCTGAGGAGCTGTTTTTTAAAAACACCACTTAAAAAACAACAAAAAACACTTAAGAATTCAAGGAACCCACACCTTAATACAAATTGTTAATGAAAATAAGCTTTATTACATCAAGTAATAAATACATACAAAGATGCAAACAGTTTTAGTCATTTTCTTCCAGATGTTTGGATCAACTTACAGGAAAAGCAGAACTGAAACCCACACACAGTCTTAGTAGGAAAATTTGGAGGGGGTGGGGGGGGTTCTCATTAGGTTAGGTTTGGTAGGTTGCTCTTTCTTCTGTATTTATAACTTGTGCATTTTTTAAATTGACCTCAAAGCACTAACAGTCATGCAAGCAAATGCTTAAGCACAAAAGAAGTTACATTAAGCGGAATCCACACGATGTGGCAAATGTACGCACTCAAAAAAAAAAAAACCCTCAGAGTTGTATTAGCTTATGAAAAAGAACGGAGAACAATCTGGGTAACATAACTGGGATCTTTGCTGTGAGACAGGTATCTTTTACGTGCATCTTTGAAATCAATGCTTAAAAAAAAAAAACAAAAAAACCCCAAAAAAACCAAGAACAAAAAACCCTGGGTAATTCCTAACTATTTAAAATGTAAATCCTAGTCAACTGCAAAATATTTCTCAATCTCAGAGCCTCATGAACCATGGGAGGGACGTGGGAAGGAGAAACCAAACTGTTACCCTTTTGAAAACAAGAGTTTCATCTGAACATGGGAGATGAGCTGTAACTTCTGGTCTTGGACGAAGATGGAAAACCTTCCGCGAGGCCAGGCAGCTAGGATCGGGCATTCCGTTCCGTTTCGGCCAAGCACTCTCGAACCAGTCCTCTGGCGTGAATGATGCCTGGAGGAGGAGCAGAGGCTGAGGATCGTCCAGCAGAACCCACTCCAGGAGAGGAAGAGGGCCCTTCACAACCCAGCTGAAAAGCCCCCGCCCTGGGAGGGAACTCGGGACCTGCATCCCAAGCACCCCGGGGTTCCAGCGGTGTGGAGACACGTGAGCGTCCCGTCCGTCCCTCGAAGGCCTTCCCTCCTCGCCCAAACTCCTCTTCGTGGCTCCTAACAATCCCTTCCCGCCCACACAGGGACGGCCAGCGAGCTCTCCGGGCACGCCAGGCTCTCAGAGGACGGAAGGAGATGTGTCCCCGCCCGCTTTCGTCAAGCCTGCCCCACTGTGGAGAATCCAGGACTGCAAATCCTGATTTCTCTCTGGCTTCTTCACAGTCTACGTTCTAGAAAGGGCTTGTCCAGTGTCCAGCCTGCACAGTTAGGATGCAAGACTGCTCATTTATGTTCACCCTTGGTCCACGGTGACGCTGCCCGCCGGGTGCCAAGAGCACCTTCGGCCCTATCACCCCCCTGCCCATCTCTTCCCTCTGGTTTGGGGGTTATGGTTTGGTTGTTGCGTTTGTGTGGTGGTGTTGGCGGCCTTCAGAGAACGCCGGGAGACACTGATCTCGTTTTAACAGACACAAAGAATCTACTCCTCCTGAGTCCTTCTGAGAGAGGACCGCCGGAGGGCACTGTGAGTGACATCCCCGAGTCACGCAGGCGTCCGCATCTCACAAATCTTATCTCTGAGCTTCAGAAGACTTTTTTCTAGAAAGGGCCAGGCAGTAAATACCTCGGGCTTTGCAGGCCGCGCGGGCTCTCTCACAACCACGCAAGCAGCCGTTACAGAAGCAGTGGGTGTGGCCATGTTCCAACAAACCTTCATCATGAACGCTGAAGTCTGAACTGCAGAGCATTTTCACCGGTCACAGAATCATTTTCCACCATTAGAAACTGAAAACCGTGCTTGGCCTATCAGGTACAGTTTGCTGACCTATCCGCCATGCGCCTGACTCCCCCGTACCCTTTATGACCCTTCTTCACCCTGTTACGACATGACCTTGGCTAGCTTGGGCTTAGCTCCCGGTCAGTGTGACCGTGGGACCAGCTGCTCACGCAGCACGTGCCCTGGGGCCATCACGAGGCAGATCCATCGGTCGGCCTGAACCCAGTGGCTTTTCTGGGGGACTGCAGATCGCCTGTTAGACTCTGGGGTCCAGCATCTTCCCAGGGATTTCCACTCGGGTAAGCAGAACTCCAGAGGTCAGGACTGTCTTGCTTCCCCTGCCTCCAAACAGCAGTCCGGACGCAGAGCAAAGCCCACCTGCGCCCCCCCCCCGCCCCAGGCTGGATCGGGGTTAACCCCACCTCTCCGCAAGCCCTGTCCAGGTCCAGCCTCTCTGCCCACGAAGGCTTCATACACACCAGGGAAGCCCGCTGCCATGGGCCGGAGCCTGTCCTCGCCAGCCGCGCCCGCCACGGGGGAGTCGTGGCCTCCGCAGCAGGCCCCCTTTATGCCCCAGATTGAGTCCCGGCGTGCCTCTCCAACCTTCCCCAGAAACACCAGATCGCTTCTGAAATTAAATTCGCACCCAGGCCACAGCTGCTCTGCCCTGCCACCTTCTAAAACCGAAATCCTCTTCTCCCCTCCCCTCCAGTGGCTTCGTGAGGTGGCAGCCGATTTCACCTCCCCCTGGAATCAGCTGGTCAGTCACGTCTTCACGGGAGTCACTGGGTTTCTGTGACATCATGCTCCTGCCCTCCCACCCTCCCTCATCAGTCATGAAGGAATTTCAGTGCTCTTGCTCTCCCTCCCCAGACTAGGACAGACCTATACGCCCCCTCGGGCTCCGCTCCAAAGAGCTGACAGCGAGGGCAACCCAGGACCCGTGGCCTCCCGACTCCTCGTCCCCGGCCCACCCAGAGAAGGAAGCCTCCCGCGGCTCCCTGGAACCAGCAGCCAACAGGAGCCGAGCAGGCAACAAACAAAGCGGCAGGATCTGGGCTATAAAGATTCCTTTTCTAAAGCATATGGACCCTCCCGGGAGGCACGCAAGGCCTTCCCGTCAGATCCCAAGAACAGTGTACATCCCACTGACCGGCCCACCCCTGCCCCTGCGATGCCTCCACATCGGAGTAACAAAACGGGGGCCCCTGGGGCATAGGGAACTCCCCCCAACCCCGAAGAAAATCTCTCACAACAGTTAGCGCCCAGCAGGGAGGCAGCACCCATCAGGGGAGTCTGGGTCCTGCTACTTACCTCGTTTTAGTCTCTCCATGGCACTCTTGCTCCCCGCATAAGTGGGTCTAATCTCTTTCCCCAACTCCTCGATGATGGCCAGCAGCTCGGCGTATTTGCTCTGGGGTACCTGGCTGTTCCCTGTTCCCTAGAGTCAGAAGGAAGAGTTTACATGGATCGAACCCTTCCCTGACCCCATGGCCACGGTCAGGACCGCACCACATGCCGGCCACGGCGAGGACAGGGCAGGGAGAGGCTCGCCCAGAGGCAGCTGCTGCCTTCGCCGGGGCCAGGCCTGTCCACCCTGAGGGAGAACCACAGGCAGAGAGCTGGGCCTCTCTGCTGTCCTCCTACACTCAAGGAAACCACCAGCAGCCTCCAGAAGGCTTTCATCCTCTCGAATGAGCAAAAGGAGGACTGGCTGGTCTCGGCAAGCACTGGGTATTTCCTAGGACCCAGGTGGAAGTGCAAGTACATCTCAGGGGAGGACAGTCCAGAGCAAGGGGACGAGATGGGGGCCACACCCTGGGGTCAGCAGGACCACAAATAACTGCCAAAGACCATCTGGACAGAACACAGAATGTGTTTCAATTCACCCATTCTCCCCGCGCCGGCAGGGCCCACCCCACAAAACCCCTTCTTCTCTAGACTCCCCCTGCCATAGCCCAAGTAAGCACCCCGACGAGTGAGGCTGGGGTCCCCACGGGCCCCCCCAACAAGGCCCTCGCCTGCTCCTCCCTCCTCCGCCGCCGTCTCTGTCTCCTGGCCTCCAGGGCCTCCCTCCTGTCCTTGCTCAGCTCCTCAGCGCCCTCCGGGTGCCGCCTCCTGGCCCGGCGGTCCTCCTCGCCCTCCTCCCACGGCCGCTTCCTCCAGCGGTCCCGTTCCAGGTCCCGTATCTGCTCCTGGGACAGCACGGCCTGGCGGGGCATGGCCGGCCACCACCCTCTCGCAGGGTCCGTGGCGACCCTGGAACGCGGCCGCGTTCCGATGACGGCAGAGAGCCCGACGGCAGCCATGGCCGGCGGGCACTGAGGCAGGGGCCTGGCCAGGTCCCTCCACCGGCGGCAGCCAGGGAGGCCAGTGGCAGCGTCGACCCCGCTTGACGGCGAGGAACCGGGTCTCTGCGAGGTTGCCAAGCAGGGGTCAGGCCTGGAAGTGGCAGAACCACGTAGAAACCCCTGCGGCCTGGTCAAGGGCCCCCATTCCCGATGAGGCGCATCTGGGCTCCGGGAGGATATGGGCCCTGTCCTCCTCTTTGCTGGGGCCACGACCTTGCAGGGGGTGAGTGGGAACGGGGTCCCCTCTCCTCTGTCCAGGCTCAGATCCAGAGCCCAGGCCAGGCTTACTTCCTCAGGAATCCGGCACAGAGACTCCCGCCGCAGGGACGCACGTGGGTGGTGGCCCCAGCAGGGCCTGCAGCACTCAGGCCTTCCAGCCCCCCCGTGGGCTCTCCGCCCCCATCTCTTGGTACCCCTGTGAAACAGCCTGCCGCCCCTCTGCTCCAACGCCCCGAGGCTTGAGACTTGAGGCCGCCAGGGCCGGAGGTTGAAGCAGTTCAGACAACTGTTCCATTCCATCATTTCTACCCCGTCCCACCGGCTCTCCTCCCCGGATGGCGGGAAGCATGTCCCCTTGGTGCCCAGGCCAGCCCCAGAGCCCCTCTCGCCCCACACCCCCCACTACCGTACCTGGGTGTAGCCGAGAGACGGCGGCCCGTAGTCACTCAGCAGCTGGCGGTACTGGGAGGACGTCGCCATACTGGTGGAGGGCGGGTGGACGCTCCCAGCTATGGAGGAGAAGAGAAGAATCGGGAATCATGTGATTGTACCCAAAGCAAAGACTCTGGGTCCCGCGACAGTCCCCCGACCCAGGACGCATGCCAGACAGCGGTCTTTTGTCTTCACAGGACAGAGACCCTGCTCCTGTCCTCTAGTTTGGGGATGGCCGGCGCTCAGCCCAGATGACAGGAAAACGTAGCTAACAGGTCACCGCTCTTCCTACCCACCACCACAGCAGACATCGCTCCTCGGTCACAGAACTCCTTCCCATCTGCGCGGTCAGGACTGGTCGCAAAGACGAAATCTGCGGCTACTCTTGGCCTAATCCTTGCTAGTCCCTTTTCCCTGGGTCCTGCTCCCCAGAGATGGATGACCGAGAGCCGAATCACCGCCACAGGAGCCCACCTGCTACGGGGCCGGTCTACATCCCGTGTGCCCAACCCTTTGCTGGACATATGCTAAGGAAGACAGAGGGAGGGTTTAGAGGCCTAACCCTGGCCGGAGACTGGTTCACTGGACACCAAGTCAGAATCTGGAGTGTATCACAGTCTCTCTGTGTGTCCTCGGTAGCCTCTCAATCTCCCTGAGCCCCTGTGGTTCCCTCCCCAAAGCGGGGACAGGATTCTTGACAGTCTGATTCTACGCCTGCATGGCTCGCATCCCAAGAGGGGAGGGACAAGGCCCCGTCTATGGACTGCAACACTCAGACACCCTGTCCCTCAGCTGTGAGGGACCACGTGGGGACAGGGCCCGGCTAAGAATGGAGCCTCCTGGATGCGGGGTGGGGAGTCATCAGCAGGGAATTTTCCGGCTCCGGCTCAGTAGCTGGAAGCATGCAGACCCATAATGGCGTCCAAGTGGCCATTAGCGGGTAGCGGATGTCCTGCAGAATTACAAACAGCAGTAACCATGGAGAATTTACCTAGCCCTCCTCAGCAGCCGCCCGCCTGCCTCCACGCCCAGTCGAGGAGCAGCTCCCCCTCTGCCTGCCGCCCCCAGAGCCAAACGGTCTCTCAAGCGCACGGCGGACTCCGCAGACTTGGCCCCGGGGATGGACAGCTGGTGCCAGGCTGGCCAAACCGACCAGCTGCTCATCTGGTGTGAGCAGGGGAGGGGACAGGGAGGAAGAAAGCTCAGGAGCTCCGGCTGGTGGAGTGGAAGGGGCCCTCGGGGAGCCCTGGAGCCCCTGACCATAAAGAGGCAGTCTGGAGAGGGTGGGCGTTCTCCTGAGCCACACACCACAGAAGAGGCTGGTACCCCGACACCATACTGCCCTCTGTCCAGGAGCTGGGGACAGCTCTGTACCCAAAATGTCTTCCCCACTCTCGGGCTTGCCCTGGATTTCACCTCCCCCACCCCAAGCCGGGGCCCAGGTTTAGGCTCAAATGTGGGATGCCCAGTCAGGAAACACGGATTCCGCCACCTCTAAGCCGGTAAGTGGGCACATCACCGGGCCACTCCTCGCCCCGGCCGCCACGCCTCTAAAGTGGGGACGGTAAGACACGGGTGCTTCAGGCACATACTGCTCAGGATGGGACGAACTGCCACCGTGTCTGTGACCTCCATCCGAGGCAACCACAGATGTGCAGCGTCCAGAGCACAGGAGCGGGGCAGGGTGGGTGCCCCCCAAGCACCCCTCACCAGAGCAGCCGAACCCCAACTTCCTGAACCTTCTGATGTGGGCAGTTGAGCGTGGCCTTTGCAGCCCCAGATCTGGGTTCCAGTCCTGACCACCGCAAGATAGCACGCCTCTCTGGAAGGCCAGGATGCTAAATGCAAGACCAGGGGGGTACATACCCCTGCAAAGCAGCCCAGTGTCCAGGAGATTCCAGTTCCTGGGCAGGAGGGGAGCGGGACTCGGGTGTGCATTCCCTGCACCACCCTTCGCCCTCACCTCTTGTTGCTCGGCACTGCTTCTCACCTCCCTGCCTCCCGTCCCATCCGCTCTCCTACAGACAAGGGCCTGGACCGGGAGTTGGTCTGGCTGTGTGACCTTGGAGTACACCCTTCCCTCTCTGGGCCTCAGTTTCTCCATCTGTTTGAGGCAATGATTCCCAACAGACTGTCTAAAGGCTCTAGATCCCATTCTTCCATGGGGCTAGGGTTAGGTCTCGGGTGGGGGGGCTAAGACAGGGAGGGAAGAGAAATCACCGGGTTTGGGTTGGGGGGAGGGTTGGGCAACAGCTGAGGGCTTGCCTTTCCCATCCCCAGGTGACGTGGTCGGTGACCCCAATTCTGTGTCAGTGCAAGGCTCTACTCTGTTGAAAAGGGGTGTGTGTGTGTGCGGCCCTGGGGAGAGTTGGCAGAAGGGCCCTGAGTTCTACTCATGCCCACTCCTTCCGGCAGACACGGGGAGGGCCAGTGCATCCGGCTGCAGGAGGCCAGGGAGAAAACCAGACTGGGCGTGAGCACGGCCGCTCTGAGCATCACAGACAATGCACGCAGTGTGCGGGGGACCAGGGAGGGCCCGGAGCCAGGGGAGGGATTGGCAGAGGCCGGCAGCTCCTGGGGCCAGGCGCAGCTCCCCGCCCCCACGCCAGACAAAGAGCGGCCTGGGCCTGGGGAGCTGGCGGCCTTCCCGCCACTTGGGGCGCCTGGGGTGGGGGGAAGTGCTCTCGGGCGGGGAGGCAGGGGCTTTGTCTAACTCCGCCACTGCCACCGCCGGCCAGGCCGCAGCTTGGCAACCCGTGAGCAGGAGGCAGGGCTGGAGGGCGTGAGGGATGATGACAAGGAAGCCGGAGGAGCGGCAGCGGAGAGTCCATCTTGGATGCAAATGGCAGGGGGAGAGTGGGGCTTTCTAAAGGGTCCATGGGGAGGAGCACAGCCCCCCCCATCAAAACACCAGGTATCTGGGGACCTCAGCAGTCCCCCTGGAAATCACCGCAGAAGAAGACCTGTGCACAGGTGCCAGCCAGCCCAGCACAGGGCTTCAGGGGTCCTGAGTGGGTGCCCCTGTCACTTTGACCCCAATCCCCGAGGGTCCCGGTTTAGGGCACCTGCCTCAACTATACTAGGCCAGGCCTGAGATTTCCAGGGTGTCAGGGCTGACAGCAAGACCTTCCGCCCTGCATACCCCAGAGACAGATGAAGCAGGCAAGGAGAAATCCTCTCTGGGCCCCAAAGCCTATCTCTGGAAGGTCTGCAGACCCCAAAGGTGGTGAGAACATTCGAGAAAATCGTGGCTGTTTGCTCTTGGGACGCAGACCCCAAAGTGAACCAATTCAACTTTGCCCCCACCCGCAACCTGAACCTTAACCCTTTCCAACCCCCAAATCTGTGTCCTTTAAGTTAAAATACATATATATATATATATATATACATACACATATATATATATAATTGATTTTCTGGGTCTCTCTTCAAATTTTTGGAGTTACGGAGTCAACGTTGGGAGACAAGGCCCAAAACTTGCGGCCAACTGCCAACGTGGCATTTCTGACCAGCAAGGCCCATCCCCTCCCCCACAAGGCCTCTGCCCCCTCCCCCCTCGAACGCGCCTGCTTTTTTGGAAGTCCATTTCCAACCAAGGGTCTAAGGGAAAAAGACCCAGGCAAGGGGAAAAGCCCGTCACACCCTAACCTCACCATCTTCCTTCCCCCACCCCAGCTCTCTCTCCCCTTGATCCCTGGGGCAAGCCCCTGGGCGCAGCCTGAAGCTGCCTGACAACTTCTGGAGGAGTTTCCTGGCATCGCCCAGCTCCAGCCCCCGGGAAGGGAGAGGACGCCCCTCCACCCCCGGCTTCCGCAGAAGGGGCCTTCGAAGCCCAGACTTGGGAGCTCCGGGATGCCGGGTCTGGGCTGAAACGCCGCCCTCACCCGCCGCCCGCAGGCACTCAGAAGCCCCCAGTCTTCTCCAACTTCTGTCACTCCGCGCACGCCTGAGGGGACATCCGGCGCGCCGCGTTGTGGGCACCCCAGCTCCGGCGCGCCGGGCCGAACCCCCACTGATGATCGAGTCCCCTGCACCGCCGGTGACCCCAGCGGCCCCGCGCCCTCACGGGCGCCTGCACCTGGCACGCTCGCCGCCCCCGCCCTGTCCACGCAGGGCCCGGCCTTGCTCGCCTGCACC